AGTAATTGCTTTTGGCGATGGTATGTTTAACAGCAGCCTGAGAGGAAACAGAGGGGCACCTGTCCGCCTTATAAAAAAAGCTTTGCAAAAATACTGCGGAAACCAATTAGAAATATGTATGGTAGATGAATATTTGACAAGCCAAATATGCAACAGGTGTAAAAATAGAAATATAGACAATGTTGTAACCGAGAAGTCAAAACGAAGAGTACATACGATATTGAAGTGTAAACAAAACACTTGCAACATCGTATGGAATCGTGATATCATGACTGCACACAATATCTTGGACATATTTCTATTCGCTGCAAGAAACAATAATCAGCGTCTTGATATTTTCATGCGTCAAAGTACATCTAATGACCAACCTTCCGTATGATTGATATGACTCTCTCATATGTCCTTACAGTGTAAGTTGTATTAACTATGTCTGAATTTAAAAGTGCGAAAACTGTAACTAAACATTTTCGCACTTTTATAAATTTGCCTTATTTGGAAAGTGATTCAATTGACATCTTTCAACATTAATTCAAGAGTTCAAACACTTCTATAACTAAAATGACAAAGAAGCGTGGTCCTTATAGGAAATACCATCAACCTTCTTTAAGTTCTGAGCAGCTTGAGAAACTTCAGCTCACGTTTGAAAATGTCAACCGACATTTCGAGTGTCCCTTATGTAAAACACTGAGCCATTTCTTTAAGCATGGATACTCTACTCAGGATCCAACTCAACCAGTCTTTGTGTGTAAATCATGCAAGAGGCAACCTACAGCGTATGAGGTATACCAAGTACTCTGTGGTATTAACAATATGAACGAGAACTCCCAGCAAGTCACTGAATCTTCTACAAATTTCCAAGAACCCAACTCTGGTGATCCACGTGATGAACTAATCAACCAACTTACCAAACAAGTTGAAAGACTTACAGCTGAATTGAACCAAGCCCGCAAACAGATCGCTAGACTTACGGCTCTTCAAGCTTCAACTCAAGGAAATAATAGCTCACAAACTATTGCTAACACTGAATTCCCTCCACTATGTGGAGCTAATTTTCAGAACCTTGACGATTCAATCTCTCAGGCTCCTTGGCATAACCCCTCCAAAGTAGCTGCATTAAAACAATCCATGTTTATCAACCGTCAAAAAAATCGAGTTCGTAAGGAAGAAACGGCTGCTCGTTTCTTTCAACCACCTTCCACCAATCAAGGATCCCAATACCTCTACGTCTCTACTAAAGCCCGTGTTCCTGTGGGTAAACTTCGCTCCTACCTACGTAATATGGGCGTCAACAATGCGCGTGTACTGGATATCCATTATCCAGACCGCAATATTGCTGCTCTTCTTATCCATAATGACTATATTGCCGAATTCAAACAATTACTTGAAACTAAACGGGTTCACTTCGCTAACAACTTTGACCCCTGGAATGGTTCTACTCTTAAAGATCCACAGTATAAGGATCTTACAGAACAAGAACGAACTTCCAAAGCATGTGAAATCCAACAACAACGCCTTCAACGTGCTGTTCTTCATATCCGCGAACCAGTAAAGTTTGCAGTAGCATACTACTTTTATCAGCAAAAATGGTTAACCAAATCATTCATTGACCAACTTAACAACTCTCGCTATGGACGATCAGAGGATGTCTTTGATATGGATGAGGATATCAAGGGTAACTTCTCTGAAGACACGACGACCAATGTAGCCAGCCTTAGTAGCATACAACATTAATGATCAGCATGTCAGTAACTTTATTTAATGCTACTGGACTCCCAAAGCAAGCTATATTCCCTCTACTAAAGATTGCTGAAAACTCGTCACTCCTTTTTATTACAGAAGCTTGGATTCTACCACCAAACAAATGCCCCACCACATGGAAACAGTTTCATACTTACGGTCAGTCGATTAATTCAACTTACCAAAGAAACCGCGGCCATCTTGGTATCGCCCTTTTGATAAATCCTACTTTTAAACATCATATTTACCATATCCAACATGAAAATCCAACACTAGCTAAGTATACTTTATCCGTAGTTATATCTGCTAAAATTTTGATACACTGTCTTTATATTCCTCCCAATCTGGATGATAATGACCTATCTGAAATTTTGGAACTATTACCTCTTAACTATAATAACACAACAGTAACTATTATCTGTGGAGGCTTTAATGCTAGAATGGGCAAGTACTCAGGCGATACAAGAGAGAATCATAAAGGACGACTCATTCACAACTGGATCCAATCTAACAAACTCATTAACTGGAATCAACGGATTGCATATGGCGTGCCTACTTCATATAGTTACTCTGGACATAGTATTGTAGACTACTTTCTGAGTACTACAGATTTGACTTCTCCGACGTTAACTGTTAGAGATGACCTATCATTAGAATCAACTCATAAGCTTTTGACTTTTTCTTTTCAAATACCATCATTTATCCCTAATAACATAGATCCAGTAGCAGACTGTCGAAAACTTTGGGACATCAAAAAGCTTAGAAAAGAGAAGTCGAGGGAAACATACCAGCAAGTTTTCAAGAAACACTTGAACCTTATCCTGCCACCTTTGTCCTCTCTTCCACTTCAGAAAATTGATGCTCAAAGGTATATTTAGCGTATCAACACCTCGTTACTTGACACTCTATATAAATCACTTGACACTGTCTGTGGTAAACAAGAGACAAACTCGGATACTCTACGCTTAAAAGAGTTTTGGACTACAGAAATGATGGAAACATTCGAAATGAAAGAGCTTTACTATCGGAAATGGAGAAAGGCAAACGGTCTCAACTGTCTTAAATACTGGTTACTTCATCAAGAAACCAAAGCGAAACTACGAAGGTTGATCACCCAGCGGAGAAAAGAAATTTGGCAACTGTTTTGTGACAAAATGAAGAAAGGCGAATACACAAAGGCTATAGCTAAGTTTTCACGGATACGGAAAAATCGCTTACTTAAACCGGTATTCTCTACTATAGACGGACCTCAAAAAGCTGCTAACCTAATGGCAGACCATCTAAAGCAGACATTATCAGGCACTAACCACTCGCGAAATGAACGTATTCCGATCCCTCGCTGCCTATCTACGTATCAATCATCTCAAGCATGTTTCGATCTAACCGATTGTCCATTTAGCTTGGATGAAATTAAATCAGTAATCTTAGACCTCCCACGAAAAAAGGCACCTGGCATCGACCACATCACAATCGAAATGATTCTACCACTTTTAGATATCATATCACCAATCCTCCTTTATCTATTCCAGTTACATTGGCAATGGTCTTATACTCCTCAATTATGGCGCATTAGTCAGATAGTTCCACTCCATAAAAAAGGTGATCCATCTGATCCGAGTAATTACCGACCAATCAGCTTGACCTCAGTCTTTCGTAAAATTCTGGAAAAATGTATACAACCTGAGCTACTTAACACCAGCCCTACACTGGATATCGCCCAAGGAGGCTTCCGTGAGTCTAGGGGGTCACTTGATCAAGTACTCTGTTTAACAGAACTATGTCAGTTATATCATCGCAAACATTTACACTACAATCCAGTGCTAGCCTTTCTTGACATTAAGTCAGCCTATGATACGGTTGATCGTAACATCATATGGAATGAACTCTCTTCAAGCACACCAACGCCACTGCTAGCCCTCTTATACAACATGTTTGAAGATGTCTCGGCCGAAGTGATTCTTAGTAACCATAAATCCTCCCGTTTTTATCCAAAAACTGGCGTCCTACAAGGATCTGTACTATCACCTTACCTATACTCAGCCTATATCAATAGCCTTCCAAATTTTTTACGACCAGCACCTCTCGTCGACACAGATTTCAATGATCCTCTCATTATCGCTTCAAAGTTAAACTGCCTATTGTATGCAGACGATGTAGTTCTTATCGCTGATGCTGATTCATTGCAGCCCCTCCTTTCCAAATGCGAGGAGCATAGCCTTTCCTTAGGTTATCGATGGAACCCTAAGAAGTGCGTCGTTGTTGATCCCAACCCTTCACGTCAAAAACACTACCTCTACAATAGTGAACTACCCAACGAAGATTACTTCCCGTACCTTGGTGTTCCTATAAAATCCGGTGGTATTATCGACAAATCAGCACTCTTACAACAAAACATTAACAAAGCACCTGGAACGATGAGACAACTTATTACCCTTGGTGTCAACAAAAATGGGCTTGATTACCTCCTTTCAACGCGCTTCTATGCCCAGATAGTCCGACCACAGCTGGAATATGGTCTAGCAATTACAACCTTCAATTCACGGGAAATTCAATATCTCGAAAACTGCCAAAACCAATGCATTCGTCAAATCTTCGGTGGACGACCCTTCACCTCTACCAAGGTAATGCTACATTTAACAAATTTACCAAACATGAAGGATCGTATTTCCATACTTCAGGCACAATTTCTTTTCAGAACCTCCTTCCTACCCGACG